TTCCCTCCCTCTCTCCCTCCCTCTCTCTCTCCCCCCTTCCCTTCCTCTCTCACTTACTTTTTAAACCAAAATGACATTTTCACTTCTCTCCAATGAGGCAGAACGTTTCCAAGCACTACGTTCTCTCCCCAGCTGCGTGTCAAAGGCAATTTCATTAAATCAGAGCCTGTCCCTTTGGAGCAGCTGCTTCAGACAAGCTGTCCCCACTCCTCCCATCCTTGGAGAGGAGCTCAGCTGTGGGCCCAGGCGGAATATTCTTTCTCAGGAAACACAACATTCTGAGCTGAAAAGCAGCCTAGTAATGGCTCAGCTGACCCGTGGGAAATACACCCAGCAATCAGTACAGTGTGGTAGAGAGGCTGGCTCCCTGTCAGACAGCAGTCACGTGGTTAGATCCAGCACTGTCCCTTGAGGTCCCTGCTGTTCCTATAATCCTGCAGAAGCCACCACACCCCAGCCTTCCCGAGCCTGTGGCTCTGTGGCTCTGTGGCCTGCGGTGGAGGCCCCACAGGTGCGAGCCTGGAAGCTAGTTCATGCTCGCGGACCTGCGCACAGGAGGCCTTCACGTAAGCCGGGGATCACAGAGGCTGGACTCGGGGAGCCTGCGCCTCAGAACTGGCAGACGCCCCTGCTCACTCCGAGTTTAGTTGGTGCATTTCTTGGGACAAAGTACCAACAGATAAAAATGATTGTCCTGGTAAGAACGTAGGAAAAAAATAAGATGTTTTCTAAATTTCACAGACTGCTGAAGTCAAAATATTCCATTGAAATCTATTTATAATCCGAAAGTGTCACAGTGGTTTCAGATTTTTCACCTCTGCTTCCTAAAATGAATAAGAAACAAACGTTACTTAAAGCTGACGAGCTGGCCATGGCTGGCCATGGCTGCCGGTTTACAGCTCTTCCAGACAGAGGACCTAGTAAATGAGAAGACTAGGACAGACCATGGGGATCCGGGGCAGTGCTAACAGGAACATAGCATCAGCCACCTAAGTCATTTAAATTTCCTAGTCATCACATTGAAAAGGTAAAAACAAATGAGGTGCGTTTCACTTTAACATACATTTGACCTAACCCAGCGTACGCAGAGATTGTTTTAACATATAATCAATATTTGAAAACTACTAATGAGATAGTCTACATTCTTTTTTCATACCGTCTTCAAAATCCAGTGTGTTTTACGTCCATAGCACACCTCGATCCCGATGCTAAGCTTTCGACTGCTGAAGTAACTGTCATCCTACCCAAACAAGACATTTTGTTTAATAATAATAATTGTTCTCTTTAAAATAAGTTTTGGGTAACAAATGTGACGTGTTTATTGTGTAAAATATTTTACACATCTTCAATTTTAAAATTTAAATTAAGTAAGATGAAAAAACTGAGTACAAACTCAGTGCCTCGGTGGCTTGAGCGCATCTCACGGGCTCAGCAGGAGTCTCTTTTCCATTTGATGATACCACGGGAGGGAAACTCAGGCTCTTTAGTCTGAAGACACATGGCTGAGGGGATACACCTTTGATGTCCTCAAAGAACTGAATGTGGACCTAGACTCATTCCGGAAATCCAGGGAGGTTTTGACAAGGGAAACCCCTTGACTTCTTTTTTCAACTACAGTTTATATTCAGTATTATTTTGTGTTAGTTTCAGGTGTACAGCATAGTGGTTAGACAATCATACACTTTCCAAAGTGTCCTCCCTCTTGATACATCCAGTCCCCACCTGGCACCAGACATGGTTATTACAATATTATTGACTATATTCCCTTGGATGTTGAAACAGAGAGTTTTAGGGCAAAACAGAGGAAGTCAGCTTTCCTTAGCAGGCGGGAGGCAGGCACCTCCTCCAGGCAGGCACCTCCACTTGCTCAGGGAAGTGGAAAGCTGACGGGCTCCAGACGAAAGCAGCGGATGGCAGACCCGTGGGAGGCCTGCGGGAAGGCCGGCGTGGAAGGTGCTCGTGCAGAATAGCACAGGCCCGGGGCCTTTCTCAGAGCTCAGAGCAGAGCACCCGGGGGGGAGCGTGGGCCAAGCTAGGTGAGGGTCATTCTCACCAGGAGGAGCCCCCTTGGGGCCACCCGGGGTCCCTGGGTCTTTTCCTGCAGACGGCTTCATTCCCACAGCCCGCTCCGTCCTGTGTTTGCCACCAGCATTGGGAGAGCCGTGCAGAAACCCCAGCAGGCTGAGACTCTGGGGACCCGAAAGGAACAAGCTCAGGATTCTCACATCTGGCCCCTTTTGTCCCCTGCCGACCTCTGTAAACACAGCTGGAAACCCCACACCACCTTCGGGAAATGATCTGCAAGATCTTTCCTCGCTTTACAGCTTGACTTTCTGGTTGAAACGCTGTCTGCTAGGCGAGCGTAGATGTTGATGAGTGGAGCCAGGGAAGCGGCCCCACTGCTGGCAGGTGACAGTCGCAGGTGGTGACGGGCACGATGAGCGGGGGCGCGATGCGTTTACTACAGGGGCACAGTCGGGTGAGCTTTCAGCGGCGCCCCCAGAGCCGGGCTTCGTCCTGGCGGCCGGCGGGGGTTGAGACGGGGCTTCGCCCTCTGCGCTGCCTTCCAGCTACATCGGCAGGAAGCGGCTGCAGGTGGAGCAGCCGGAGAGGGCGGTGCCCCTGGTGGCCAACCTGGTGGAGGCCGACTACTCCTACTGGACGCTGGGCTACGCCATCTCTCTGCCGGGCGCGCGCAAGCTGGTGGGCGCAGACCCGTTTGGGAAGATGCTGCCCGTGGACGAGTTCCTGCCCATCATGTACAACAAGCATCCCGTGTGAGTCGCCCCGAGCGCCCTCCCTGTC